TTAAAGTCACTAATTAGTAAAGAACTCCCCTCACCTGGTTGTCTAGGGCTTAATGTAAAGGAAAAACCAAAAACCCGCAGACACTAGGCCCTCCATGGAATGAGTTTGACATCCCTGATTTAGATGGTACAATGATTCCCTATACTATTTAGTGCTTATTTTCTCACATAAACTGAAATTGAGGGAACAGTGTACAATTTTTGTAACAAGGAAATGAGTGATTTCCACTAGATAACACAGCCACAAAGTCAGAACAGCTTTCCCAACAGATGCCGCTCTGGCAGGAATAATCAATAGGCAGATATCACAGCCAATCACAACACTGGCGTTTAAGTAGTACTGTGAAACAATTTCATTCCACTATTAGCACCAGATATATTATGGACATTTTCTGAAATGATGATGCGAAAAACAAACAAAATCCTGTGGAGCACCTTTAATCTCACACACCCTGTCAGATGTCCGCAAACTAAAGAGTATTACCGATAAAGGGAACTTCTGAACCCGTGAGATGTAGAGGCTAGAATTTTAAGATGGTCACAAAACTGACGCTGAAGTAACTGCAGTGCCTTGTTGCTCTGCTAGCACTGTTGTGTTGGTAGAGGGTGGCAGAGAAGCTTGTGGGAGGGCAGGGTCTTGTCCTCCTGACTTGGCCTAAAGCTGCAATATGTAACTTTTTGAGCGACCTGACGAAATTCACACAGAAATGCGAGTTATAGATCTGTCTCATTGAAAGCAAGTCTAAGAAGCAGTAGATCTGTCCTACAGCATGTGCGCCATTTCTATGCTTCCCATTCTTAACTTTCGTTTTTGCATCTTTTACTTTTGGTTTTGTACACCAGCTTCAAAACAGCTGACAATACAATATTTTTGGTTATTGAAAATATATTTCATAGCAGTTTAGATGGTACAATGATTCTCTACACTATACTTGCTTGTTTTGTCACAAACTGAAATTAGGCAAACTGTTAGAATTTTAGCAACCATGAAATAGCAGTGCGATTTCTTCATATTGCACCTTTAAGAATCTGTGCTTTTACACAGGTTGGATCCATCTCTTACTCAAACATACAGCCCCTGATTGGGGCATATTATACTGAACAAAAATATAAATGCAACATGCAACAATTTCAGAGTTACAGTTCATAATGAAATCAGTCAATTGAAATAAATTCACTAGGCCCTAATGGATTTCACCACTGGGCATAGGCCCACAAAAGGGCTTTATTACAGACAGATATACTCCTCAGCAACCCTCCCCACTCCCCTCAGACAATCCTGCAGGTGAAGAAGCCAGATGTGGAGGCACCTTGTGTATTCTACTATTCTAACTCTCAACAGTAAATTGAGACCCCCCCGAAAAGTATATACACTGCCGATTTTGCAGGTTTTCCTACTTACAAAGCATGTAGAGGTCTGTAATTTTTTATCATAGGTACACTTCAACTGTGAGAGACGGAATCTAAAACAAAAATCCAGAAAATCACATTGTATGATTTTTAAGTAATTTGCATTTTATTGCATGACATAAGTATTTGATACATCAGAAAAGCAGAACTTAATATTTGGTACAGAAACCTTTGTTTGCAATTACAGAGATCATACGTTTCCTGTAGGTCTTGACCAGGTTTGCACACACTGCAGCAGGGATTTTGGCCCACTCCTCCATACATACCTTCTTCAGATCCTTCAGGTTTCGGGGCTGTCGCTGGGCAATACAGACTTTCAGCTCCCTCCAAATATTTTCTATTGGGTTCAGGTCTGGAGACTGGCTAGGCCACTCCAGGACCTTGAGATGCTTCTTACGGAGCCACTCCTTAGTTGCCCTGGCTATGTGTTTCGGGTCGTTGTCATGCTGGAAGACCCAGCCACGACCCATCTTCAATGCTCTTACTGAGGGAAGGAGGTTGTTGGCCAAGATCTCGCGATACATGGCCCCATCCAACCTCCCCTCAATACGGTGCAGTCGTCCTGTCCCCTTTGCAGAAAACATCCCCAAAGAATTATGTTTCCACCTCCATGCTTCACGGTTGGGATGGTGTTCTTGGGGTTGTACTCATCCTTCTTCTTCCTCCAAACACCGCGAGTGGAGTTTAGACCAAAAAGCTCTATTTTTGTCTCATCAGACCACATCACCTTCTCCCATTCCTCCTCTGGATCATCCAGATGGTCATTGGCAAACTTCAGACGGGCCTGGACATGCGCTGGCTTGAGCAGGGGGACCTTGCGTGCGCTGCAGGATTTTAATCCATGACGGCGTAGTGTGTTACTAATGGTTTTCTTTGAGACTGTGGTCCCAGCTCTCTTCAGGTCATTGACCAGGTCCTGCCGTGTAGTTCTGGGCGTATCACTCACCTTCCTCATGATCATTGATGCCCCACGAGGTGAGATCTTGCATGCAGCCCTCATCTTGAACTTCTTCCATTTTCTAATAATTGTGCCAACAGTTGTTGCCTTCTTACCAAGCTGCTTGCCTATTGTCCTGTAGCTCATCCCAGCCTTTTGCAGGTCTACAATTTTATCCCTGATGTCCTTACACAGCTCTCTGGTCTTGGCCATTGTGGAGAGGTTGGAGTCTGTTTGATTGAATGTGTGGACAGGTGTCTTTTATACAGGTAACGAGTTCAAACGGGTGCAGTTAATACAGGTAATGAGTGGAGAACAGGAGGGCTTCTTAAAGAAAAACTAACAGGTCTGTGAGAGCCGGAATTCTTACTGGTTGGTAGTTGATCAAATACTTATGTCATGCAATAAAATGCAAATTAATTACTTAAAAATCATACAATGTGATTTTCTGGATTTTTCTTTTAGATTCCGTCGCTCACAGTTGAAGTGTACCTATGATAAAAATTACAGACCTCTACATGCTTTGTAAGTAGGAAAACCTGCAAAATCGGCAGTGTATCAAATACTTGTTCTCCCCACTGTATGTGTGTTATATATATATATATATATATATATATATAGAACAAAAATGTAAACGCAACATGCAACAATTGTACTGTGCTACAGTTCATATAAGGAAATAAGTCAATTGAAATAAATTCATTAGGCCCTAATCTATGGATTTCACATGACAGGGCAGGAGCGCAGCCATGGGTGGGCCTGGGAGGACATAGGCCCACCCACTGGGGAGCCAGGCGCAGCCAATCAGAATTAGTTTTTCCCAACAAAAGGGCTTTATTTCGAACAGAAATACTCCTGTTTCATCAGCTGTCCGGGTGGCTGGTCTCAGACGATCCCGCAGGTGAAGCTGGTTGAGAGAATGCCAAGCGTGTGCAAAGCTGTCATCAAGGCAAAGGGTGGCGATTTGAAGAATCTCAAATATAAAATATATTTCACTTTGTTTACTACATGATTCCATATGTGTTATTTCATAGTTTTGATGTCTTCACTATTATTCTACAACGTAAAAATAAAGAAAAACCCTTGAATGAGTAGGTGTGTCCAAACTTTTGACTGGTGGTAGTATTTATATTATATATACACACATACACTACCATTCAAAAGTTTGGGGTCACTTAGAAACGTCCTTGTTTTCGAAAGAAAATATTTTTTTGGTCCATTAAAATAACATCAAATTGATCAGAAATACAGTGTAGACATTGTTAATGTTGTAAATGGCTATTGTAGCTGGAAACGGCAGATTTTTTATGGAATATCTACATAGATGTACAGAGGCCCATTATCAGCAACCATCAGTCCTGTGTTCCAATGGCACGTTGTGTTTGCTAATCCAAGTTTATCATTTTAAAAGGCAAATTGATCATTAGAAAACCCTTTTGCAAATATGTCAGCACAGCTGAAAACGGTTGTGCTGATTAAAGAAGCAATAAAACTGGCCTTCTTGAAACTAGTTGAGTATCTGGAACATCAGCAATTGTGGGTTTGATTACAGGCTCAAAATGGCCAGAAACAAATAACTTTCTTCTGAAACTCATCAGTCTATTCTTGTTCTGAGAAATGAAGGATATTCCATGCGAGAAGTTGCCAAGAAACTGAAGATCTCGTACAACGCTGTGTACTACTCCCGTCACAGAACAGCGCAAACTGGCTCTAACCAGAATAAAAAGAGGAGTGGGAGGCCCCGGTGCACAACTGAGCAAGAGGACAAATACATTAGTGTCTAGTTTGAGAAACAGATGCCTCACAGGTCCTCAACTGGCAGCTTAATTAAATAGTACCAGTAAAACACCAGTCTCAACGTCAACAGTGAAGAGGCGACTCTGGGGTGCTGACCTTCTAGGCAGAGTTGCAAAGAAAAAGCCATATCTCAGACTGCCCATCTTAATCTTTTCTTTTTATTGGCCAGTCTGTGATATGGCTTTTTCTTTGCAACTCTGCCTAGGTCAGCATCCCGGAGCCAGTTTGCGCTGTTCTGTGAAGGGAGTAGTACACAGCGTTGTACGAGATCTTCAGTTTCTTGGCAACTTCTCGCATGGAATAGCCTTCATTTCTCAGAACAAGAATAGACTGATGAGTTTCAGAAGAAAGTTATTTGTTTCTGGCCATTTTGAGCCTGTAATCGAACCCACAATTGCTGATGCTCCAGATACTCAACTAGTCCCAAGAAGGCCAGTTTTATTGCTTCTTTAAATCAGCAAAACAGTTTTCAGCTGTGCTAACATAATTGCAAAAGGGTTTTCTAATGATCAATTAGCCTTTTAAAATTAAACTTGGATTAGCAAACATGCCATTGCAACACAGGACTGATGGTTGCTGATAATGGGCATCTGTACACCTATGTAGATATTTATTTGTTTAATTTTTTTTTTTTTTTTTTATCAGCCGTTTCCAGCTACAATAGCCATTTACAACATGAAATGCCTACACTGTATTTGTGATCAATTTTATGTTATTTTAAAATGGACAGAAATTGATTTTCTTTTGAGAACAAGGACATTTCTAAGTGACCCAACTTTTGAACAGTAGTGTGCATACACACACATTTGGATTCTAAGCTAGTACATTTCAGTGGCAAGGAAGACAGAAAACAAAAATTCCAATGTCGATATTTATTATCAAAACACCTTATAGAACAAAGGCAATGAAGTGAAGCATTACAGGTAAAATATAAAGAAATTTAAATTTGGTCACCAAAAAATTATGCAGGGACAAGAAATAACTAAAAGTACACATTTGCGCAGTTACAATTGCCTAACAAACAAGAAATATGTGGAAAGGTCAGTACAGGGCGGCAAATATCAGGGCCATAATGACACTGGATCTGTGGACGATTACGCGTTTCTGTCGATTCTGACGTCGATCTCTCTTCCATTCAGCCTGTAGCCGTTCATGGTGCGACAGGCTCTCTCTGCAGTCTCTGGGTTGTCAAAGCGAACCACGCCACAGCCCTTGGACTTGCCATTCTCCATCTTGATGTCAGCATACTGGACAATACCTACAGAAGAAAGCACATTGGGGCTGGTAAATATTTTAGCAGAAGGTCCAATTGAATCTTGGGTCAGAAATACTTCCATGGTGTCATTGCCTAATGAACTTAAACCAAATGGGAGAATTGTAATGTAACTTCAAACCATTACATTTGCATGCTTCTCAATTCTGTCAAATAACATTTCTGATAAGTTTCTTGTGTGCAATAAAGTCCCTACATTAATGAAATGAGTGGATTATGTTCTTACCGCATGTATTGAAGTTATCCTTCAGCATTTTCCAGGTGAAGTCAAAGGGCAGCTACAGAGAAGAGTCAAAACAATAAGTTTAGGTTTGCAATGGTCTGTTGAATGTGTGGTCCTCTGTAGCGCAATTGGTAGAGCATGGCGCTTGTAACGCCAGGGTAGTGGGTTCGATCCCCGGGACCACCCATACGTAAAAATGTATGCACACGACTAAGTCGCTTTGGATAAAAGCGTCTGCTAAATGGCATATTATTATATTATTGAATACAACCTTCAAGATGAGTCTTAAAATCAATTTTCTGAATACACTCCAACGGGACACTTGAGATCATTATTTCTATAGATGCTTACATTTCTGACAAAGATCTGACATCCCTTCCTGGCGTTGGCTCCAGGACCTCCGGCCCCGGCTCCCCCAAAGCCATTTCCTCCAAAGCCCCCACGCTCCATCTCAGCTGGCCGGTCAAACTGGCCTCCAACACCGGCAGCGCCCATGCGGTCCATGGTGGAGCCCATGCGGTCAAGCCCGGTGGTCGGGAAGCGGTCGATGCCGGCAGGCCCCATGCGGTCAAAGTTGGTTCCCATCCTCTCCATGCGGTCCGCCATGCCCATGGGGGAGGTGAAGTCCAGGCCAGCGGGCATGCGTTCCAAACTGGACGGGCCTAGGCGGTCAAACCCAGCTGGGCCCAGGCGGTCCACGCTGGAGCTCATACGATCCAGGCCAGAACCAAGTCTGTCCATACTGGGCCCCAGCCTGTCCAGCCCGGAGCCCATCCGGTCAAAGCCAGACCCCCCTAGCCTGTCCAGATCAGACACGCGGTCCATCCTCTCCATCCCCATGCGCTCCATTCCACCCAGACGGTCCATTCCACCGCCCAGGCGATCCATGCCAGAGCTCATGCGGTCCATGCCCAGTGAGCTACCTGTAAGTCGAGGAAAAACAAAACAGACTAGTGAGACATTTTAGGTCCTGTGAGAAATCTGCATCAGGCGTGTTCAACGTGTTAGCAAGAAATTGTGCAAATCCTTAAAAGTACTAACCCATTCCTCTTTCAAAGGACTCGCCAAAATTATTGCGAGACATGCCCATTTCATTTCGAGCAAACTCCCGGTCAAAAGAACCACCAATCCCACGGTCCATCTCTGACAATGCAAGATATTAAACTATTAGAAGACAAACGTTTATGTTTCATAAACATGTGAATTTGTAATGTGTGAATTTAATTTCCTTACCATTCATCCTGCCCATTCCAGATGGTCCAAAGCGCTCCATGTTGTTCATTCCTCCACCGAAGTTATCCATGCCTGGGAAAAAATGACAACAAGAAAGTTAATCTACAATATTCAAGTGTATCAGAAAAAAAAGAAGGGGGGGGGGGGGGGGGGGGGGGGCACCATGCACATTATTTTAGACTATACCCATTCAATGGACGCAGTACAATAAGTACATACCTCCCATTCTACCCATGCCACCACCGAAGCCCATGCCATCCATGCCTACAAACCAAACGAACAGTGAGTGACTGAACCAAGCCAAATTAAAAGTTATCTGCAAAGGAGGATCACAAAGACAGCTCCTTACCTCCAGGTCCCATGTTGCCCATTCCTCCACCTCCTCTGTTCAGTGCAGTGGCGTCGATGGGTTGGCCACCAGGCCCAAGTCCCAGCCCGATGCCACTAAGGCCCCCTGAGGGAAAAGCAATAGATGATTGAGAGAAATAAATACAACCGACCCTTCTATTGAAGATCCTGTGGAAGCTAGCCTTGAACATACTCAATATTTGTGTGTTGGACGGAGTTAGCGGGGGGGACATTGTACGTACGGGGTAGTGCTGGGGGTCTCTCAGGTGGTGCAAAGTCTCCTTTTGGCAAGGACTTCTCATCCTGAAATACCCAACAAGCATTGCTTAAAATATATTCAAAATGTGTACAAAGATTATAACATTTATACATTTTAGTGTGTGCACAATCTCTGTAATATGTTGCTTACCAGTTTGACATGCATGACCCGGTTGAACAGCAGTTGACCGTTGAACATACTGACGGCTTGGACAGCTTCAATAGGCATGTCAAAGGTGACGGTGCCCATGCCCCTGCTATTCCCATCTTTGTCCTCCAGGATGTCAGTACGCACCACCACTCCTGCCATGCCAAACACCTCCTTCAGCTTCTTCCAGCCAACCTTGTAGTCCAGCTGGAAACACAAAACATGGCAGTTACTTGATTAAAATACTTGCAATAACATATCATATGAAATGATATCAAAAACAATGTATATTAGGCATACTGGACTACAATCTCCGACTTACATTAGCTACGAAGACGGTGCTTCCGATCTTGCCAGCCTGCAGTCCGTGGATGATCTCATTGGGGATGTTGGAGTTGTTCATGAGGCTGGGGGGAATGTTGACCATGGGTGGGGCGCCCGGTCCTGGGCCCATGCGGTCCATGTTCATTCGCTCCATGTTCATGCGATCCATTCCCATGTTCATTCCACCATGGCCACCGGGTGGTCCACCACCTCCTCCACCACCACCCTGGGACCTGTGGGCGTCCCTCTGCGCAATCACACCATCTGGGTCCTGGAGAGAGGAAGAGAGAGACATGGGCAACATGACTAAATAGGAAATAAAGGTTTAGTGATAGATTTTTGTTCTTCTGGTGGCAACAAGTGCCAGTAGCATCTTTTTTTTTTTTTTTTTTTAAAGACTGCTCACCTCTTTGACCTTTAGGGGCCGCCCATTCAGGTTGTGCTTGTTGACCTTCTCTACAGCCTTCTTCATCAGTTCCTCAGTCCTGAACTCAACAACCCTGTTGAGACAAATACTTTGATGAACACCAGGAACTTAGAATAACGCTGAGACACCTATTAGAATGAAAACGGAATGATAAATACTTACGCGCAACCCTTTGTTGATTGAAGACCGTACAACAGCATCATTGAAGTAGAAAAACAACATTCAAGTTAGTAATCAGCTGTGGCACTGTAGAGAACACTGGTATTCAGGGGGCTGAATTACTCTTATGAAAGACATCAAATGACCTTCATGCATATTCAATAACAAGGCCAAACACACGCTACTCACTTGTATGGCCTTAGCCTTGAACAGTCAGTTACTCTTTCAAAATTATTAGACAGCTTAAAAGCTGGTCACCAGACAATATAACAAATGCAGAGGTTGTCTGGTGAATCTAAAACCTTAACATTGTACACATCAAAAGCAGAAGTCCCACAGACAAAATGCACTCCCTTGAAGGAAATAGCTGTTCCACAAAAACCAATTACATGGACTCAAATCTACTACATGTAACAACATCAATGTAACAGCCATGTTACAACCTCTTGGGGCTGGGCCCCATTTTAGATTAAGTCCCAGGAACAAGTCCACAGCAAAAAGGGACTTTCCCAGCTACTGCAATCACATGGGATTGGCTACAGAAACCCAAATTCCCAATCAGACACCAAGATGACCTCATTCAGTGCCACAGACTGCACCATGTTTTCTGTTCAGTGTCACCCACTTGACATGTTCATCAAAACTCATCCAGGTTTGAACATCCCCACAATGAAAGAAAAGGAAACTCAAGCTGACAAACACAGGTTCGTCTATTGCACTTACCCTCGATTTGCCTTCTCCGTCCATTAAGTGTTCCACGTACGTTACCTCACCCACTACAAATCAGATTCCAGACGACACACACCAAGGGAGAGAAGCCGAGAAAACAATGGGGGTTTAGAGCAGACAAGCGGTTGGTGAACGTGAGCTCGGCCTGCTACTCCAGAGCCTCCCCCCAGCACCTCAATTCTGGTACAGGTCTACAAAAGGCAAGCTCTTACTGGATCTTAAAATGACTTCTTAGCCTGTCCTTGTAGAGTCGCCAAACACCAAGAGCAATAGATTGAAGAGAACAATCGTCAAATAGCTAACAACCTCTAATCGGATGAGCTATCATAAAGGAACCATTTTCGAAGTGAGGATCAAGTTGACAGAATGACAGTTTTAAATTTGCAGTCATTTGAAACCATGAGTCCACCCTTCCAAAATCCATGTTCCTTGTTAAATGTATTTGGAACCCCTGACTGATACAACTGTTCAGACACACCTTTGAATGTAAACTACACTAAAAACTAAATTGTACCAACTCTGCTAACTCCAATGTCTGAAGAACATTGACACTTTTGGAAAGCTGTACATACATTGGACCTGGAGAGGCACAACAGTGTCCAAGTGTGTTTAACAGAGGGACAACCATGGCTAATTCCAGCAAATGAGTCTGCGCCATAAATGGACAGGAACCAATCCTCAGCTGAAACAAGAACAGCCGTGAGAAGCTGCTTCATTTTGTAGACCTGTACCCCAAGAAATCCCAAACACACATCCGTAATTGGTACAACATGGAGATCTGCGGAAACAACAAACCTAAAAAAGAGAATGCAATTTAACGCCACATTCAATCATTATATCCAAACACTAAAAACTGTTTCTGAAAGGCATTGGTAATCTCTCAGAACACCCATGCTTTATCATGATTAAAAGCAGGTGCTATTTATTACATTAGTGCTAATATATATTATAGCTTTGCCAAAGCCATGTAAACAACCATTTAAACAGAACACCGTTCCCTTTGTTGCAGGATTCAAATTGAAGACAAAAAGAAGTTGAGGACAACTGGCCCATGCTGCAAATTTACATGAAAGAGAACCCGTTAAACATTAAATAATTCTTAATTTGACATAATTTCCAAGAAAATGATCACGCAGAGAACATAAGACCAGCTTTAATAATCGTAGTGTAAGCACCTGAGAGCCATTACGTCTCAAGGCAATACGGACATTTTCCGCTATGTACACACAAACCACAAGACCCAACACAACAGTGCAATTGATGATCCATACACTATAAGCCATGTACTTAATTTGAAGACCTCCCTTTAGTTTGTATATTCCCATTGTTCAAGCAAGTATAGCTGTAGAGATCAAGGACTCCAAAGTTAAGTACAAATTCATAATGCTATTCGCAGCACTACAAAAATGACTAGCCGAAGGCAGAAATCACAGAGAGAACTGTTCTGAAATCTAAACCATCCAAGAGTTAGCAGAACACAGGCCAATCCATGGAAAGGCCACTCCCATTTGAAGTTGCCAGTCTGCATACCAAAAACCTCAGCTACAAATTGCAACCTGGGCCCTTTACAGATTTGCCAGCTGCCATCCAGTCAACAAGGTAAAGTGGTTCAACGCAAATGACCTGTTATGGGAGGTTTTATTAGCCTTGATGGACTCCATATCTATAAAGGATCCAACTTAACTCTGAACACAATACCTTTTTCTTTCATTAGATCTTTGAGTGCCTGCCATTTCACATCATATGGGATGTTGCTGACAAACACACGGTATCTCTTTGATGGGTTTCCATAGGGTTCAAAGCGACCACCTCCACGCTTCTGGGGCCTCTCCTTCCTGGCATTGGGTTCATGCTTGGCCTTGCCGTTCATTTCCCTTTGGAAAAAAATTACATATTACATTAGCTTGCTACAGTTACCAGTACACATAACAATAACTCGTTAAGAAAAAAAAAATCTGACCGCTTTGCTAGCTACCCGACCTAAAAAAAAAACGGCTGCCTGGAGCCTTGTGAGACAAAGAACGGGTAGTGATTGATGGAGTAACAATAATACGTCGGTCTGATGGTGAACAAAGGTTGAAACGTCCACTAACAACAAATAACTAGAACTGTAACTAGTTATAATTTACTAACTAGCTTCGTCCTGCAACTAACGTTAGGCACCGAATTAGGCATGTATATTAACCTTTAAAATTAACGATTCTAACTTTTACTTTATTGTTTACAGATCCATTAATATTGCTTAATGTTAATTAATACATAATATTTAGTTACGGGACGAAGCTACACCAATCAAGAGTTGTGCCTAACGTTAATGACTAGGCTACGACTCCCATATTACACGCTAACTTGTATTAACATTAACTAACTTCCCTTTCTCCCATTTTCAGACACGCGATATATCATATAGCTAGCTAACGTTATTTCGTATTTTGTGAATAATTTGAATAGTTGGCCAGTACACGAGTTTAGTTAACCAAAATAGCAAGTGATGGCGTACTAAACAAAAAAATGGAGGGAGAGGACAAGTTAGGTAACGTTAGCAGGCTAGCTAATTTGCTAATCTCATGGCGGTGTGGTGCACGCACGCAGATCACATTGTGGCTAGTATAGCTAGCAGAATCCCATTGTTTAGCTAGCTAACTAACTGTTAGTAGTGATTAGCCTGGTAGATTTCCATTAAACTGGTAATTTCTCAAAACAATCAAGATTTAAATTCACGAAACCTTGGCGAGCGGGAAATGAAAATAAAGGTTACTAGGTAACGTTAGCTAGTTAGCCAGCCAAAAAAAGAATTAATGACAATGAAATAATCAAAACGTTACCCCTGGCCTGGTTTCTCAGGAGCAGCGGCCTCGGTCGACATCTTCTTGCGCAGTTCGCTAATCCTGTTTTGTTGCGGAATTAACTTGTGGTCAGTAGAATACCTCAACAGTGCTAATAAAATATTGCCTAAATTTGGCAGTGGTCCTTCACTTTCGCAGTATCGAATAAATAACGGTTTTAATGTATGACTTTGGAGAGCCGCGCTACTAGCCAACAAGCTAACGTTAGTGAAATGGCGGATGAATATACCCGTTTCTATTTATTCACTGGGTTGCCAAGGAGAGTGAAGCATGCTGGGAATTTGGCTCTGCGACCGACGACCACTCAGAATCAAAGTGCAATTTTCAAAAAAATAATGTACATGTGTCTATTGCAAACATATAAATCAGTTTGGTACATTTGTTTCTCAGTTAGAATTTTGTTTACACTGTTTTAATCATGGCAACGAAACAGAGTTTCTAAACCCAGAGACGCAACATCACGAGACTTCCGGGAACGCTTGCGAAACAGACCAAACAGACCAGGCTGGGGTTTGGAGTTTGAGAAGTCAATGAGAAAAGTGAAAAAAATAATTTTTATTTGTTAATTTTCTCGACATTTAAAGGCACAACCTAGATTAGAGCCAATGTCTTAAGTAGTTGAACATGTTATTACTCTATATATATATTTATTTTACCACCTGCGGTAAATTTTTCTAAGTAAACCTCATTGTCTCAATCTCATTGTTCTATCTGTGGGCCTACTACTGTTTTGTTAGACTTCAGTGCGGTTTTTGACATTATCGATCATAGTCTGCTGCTGGAAAAACGTATGTGTTATGGCTTCACACCCCTGCTATATTGTTGATAAAGAGTTACCTGTAGTCCCCTGTAGCTCAGTTGGTAGAGCATGGCGCTTGCAACGCCAGGGTTGTGGGTTCGTTTCCCACGGGGGGCCAGTATGAAAATGTATGCACTCACTAACTGTAAATTGCTCTGGATTAGAGCATCTGCAAATTGACTAAACATTTTAAAATGTAACAGAACAGGGGGTGTTCTTTAATGGAAGCCTCTCCAACATAATCCAGGTAGAATCAGGAATTCCCCAGGGCAGCTGTCTAGGCCCCTTACCTTTTTCAATATTTTCTAACGACATGCCACTGGCTTTGAGTAAAGCCAGTGTCTATGTATGCGGATGACTCAATACTATACACGTCAGCTACTACAGTGACTGAAATGACTGCAACACTTAACAAAGAGCTGCAGTTAGTTTCAGAATGGGTGGCAAGGAATAAGTTAGTCCTAAATATTACAAAAACTGAAAGCATTGTATATAGGACAAATCATTCACTAAACCTTAAACCTCAACTAAATCTTGTAATGAATACTGTGGAAATTGTGCAAGTTGAGGAGACTAAACTGCTTGGAGAAACCCTGTATTGTAAACTGTCATGGTCAAAACATGTTGATGCAACAGTAGCTAAAATGGGGAGAAGTATGTCCATAATAAAGCGCTAGTCTGCCTTCTTAACAACACTATCAACAAGGCCGGTCCTACAGGCCCTAGTTTTGTCACACCTGGACTACTGTTCAGTCGTGTGGTCAGGTGCCACAAAGAGGGACTTTGGAAAATTACAATTGGCTCAGAACAGGGCAGCACGGCTGGCCCTTAAATGTACATGGAGAGCTAACATTAATTATATGCATGTCAATCTCTCATGGCTCAAAGTGGAGGAGAGATTGACTTAATCACCACGTGTTTTTGTAAGAAGTGTTGACAAGCTGAATGCACCTAGCTGTCTGTTTAAACTACTAGCACACAGCTCGGACACCCATGCATACACCACAAGACATGCCACCAGAGGTCTCTTCAAAATCCCCAAGTCCAGAACAGACTAGGGGAGGCACACAGTACTACATAGAGCCATGACTACATGGAACTCTATTCCACATCAGGTAACTGATGCAAGCAGTATAATCAGATTTAAAAAACATATAATATACCTTATGGAACAACGTGGACTGTGAAGAGACTGTGAAGAGACACACGCACAGGTACAGACACACGCATATGCACACGGCGCTAGCACACACACTCTACACACACGTACATTGTGGTATTGTTGTATGGTGGCATCGTGAATTTTGTGTTGTGGATATGTAGTAGTGTAGTAATGTTATATGATGTACTGTTTTATATTTTGTTTTATGTGTAATGTCTTGATGTGTTTGGACCCCAGGAAGAGTAGTTGCTGCCTTGGCAGCAACTAATGGGGATCCCTAATACAATACAAATACAATACAAATACTGTAATTAATCCCATTAATATTGTCGTACAGTTTACATGGGCGCCAGTGAACTCCTCCCCTTCTGCAGAGTAAGGAATATTCTGTCTTCCTGCGGTCAGTCGGGGACTGTGAAAAACCAGCGTTGTCTCGCGCATTTGGTTACAGAGAAAAAGGGAAGGCGCAAACACTGCAACCAACTTCAGAAACTCTAGACCAAGAATATATCGCAATTAAATCGGAATCGGACTATTTTTAAGACATGGGCAACAGAGATGATGAATACGATTTCTTGTTCAAAGGTAAAATAACTGTTAACCATTTCTACCCATCTAGCTGTAACCAGCTGCCTCTTGGTGGTAGCAACAACACATATGATTTGTGTCTCATTCTGTCAGTTATGAGGGTACCGTTAGAAGCTCCCACAATGTATTTTATTCTAACATATCACTTTAGAATGTCCAGATAGATTAGGAATTGATGGCCTCCATCTGATCTTGTGGCTTGCTAAATATAATACTGAGTATACTAGGTTTGTCGCATTGTGTTGAGCAATGCACAGCTCTAACTTAGCTAACAACATAGGTTTTCTCAGGTTGCTTTATAACACCAATACCATCATCCTCAAAGGTGCTGGTTTATAGCCAGCAACATGTCGATTTTTATACAATTAATATAGCTAGTAGGATCCTTCTCACAAGTGTACCAAGTGTACCAAAGGGTCAAATCTGAAATAATTCATTCATAGTGATTTTAAATTAGTTGTAGCCTATAATTAGCCAGCAATAATTCATAGGTAGACCTAATACTCATACAGAATTAGCCTAGTATAAATACTCAATCATAAACAGTTGTTTACATTATAATATGACTTACCTTACGATAAATAATAGCTGAACATGTCCAAAAAAGACTGTCCTAATTGTATCAGATAAGGATGGGATAATGACCAGGAAGGAAGTTCCCAGTGGGTCACCCTATTGATAGTCTGATGCTCTGACCATTCCATAATCTATTCCACTCAATGTAGCACATTTGTCAAAATCTTACAGATACCAATTTATAACTCTACTGATGAGCTACTGTTAGATGTTGTGTTTCAATGTTTATTTATTTTTTCACCTTTATTTAACCAGGTAAGCCAGTTGAGAACAAGTTCTCATTTGCGACCTGGCCAAGATAAAGCAAAGCAGTGCGATAAAAACAACAACACAGAGTTACATATGGGGTAAAACAAAACATAAAGTCAAAAATACAACAGAAAATATATATACAGTGTGTGAAAATGTAGCAAGTTATGGAGGTAAGGCAATAAATAGGCCATAGTGCAAAATAATTACAATTAGTATTAACACTGGAATGATAGATGTGCAAGAGATGATGTGCAAATAGAGATACTGGGGTGCAAATGAGCAAAATAAATAACAATATGGGGATGAGGTAGTTGGGTGGGTTAATTTCAGATGGGCTGTGTACAGGTGCTCTGACAACTGATGCTTAAAGTTAGTGAGGGAGATAAGAGTCTCCAGCTTCAGAGATTTTTGCAGTTCGTTTCAGTCATTGGCAGCAGAGAACTGGAAGGAATGGCGGCCAAAGGAGGTGTTGGCTTTGGGGATGACCAGTGCGATATACCTGCTGGAGCGCATACTACGGGTGGGTGTTGCTATGGTGACCAATGAGCTAAGATAAGGCAGGGATTTTCCTAGAAGTGATTTATAGATGGCCTGGAGCCAGTGAGTTTGGCGACGAATATGTAGTGAGGACCAGCCAACAAGAGCGTACAGGTCACAGTGGTGGGTAGTATATGGGGCTTTGGTGACAAAACGGATGGCACTGTGATAGACTACATCCAATTTGCTGAATAGAGTGTTGGAGGCTATTTTGTAAATGACATCGCCGAAGTCAAGGATCGGTAGGATAGTCAGTTTTACGAGGGCACGTTTGGCAGCATGAGTGAAGGAGGCTTTGTTGCGAAATAGGAAGCCGATTCTAGATTTAACTTTGGATTGGAGACGCTTAATGTGATTCTGGAAGGAGAGTTTACAGTCTAACCAGACACCTAGGTATTTGTAGTTGTCCACATACTCTAGGTCAGACCCGTCGAGAGAAGTGATTCTAGTCGGGTGGGCGGGTGCCAGCAGCGTTCGATTGAAGAGCATGCATTTAGTTTTACTTGTGTTTAAGAGCAGTTGGAGGCTACGGAAGGAGTGTTGTATGGCATTGAAGCTCGTTTGGAGGTTTGTTAACACAGTGTCCAATGAAGGGCCAGATGTATACAAAATGGTGTCGTCTGCGTAGAGGTGGATCTGAGAATCACCAGCAGCAAACGCGACATCATTGATATACACAGAGAAAAGAGTCGGCCCAAGAATTGAACCCTGTGGCACCCCCATAGACTGCCATAGGTCCAGACAACAGCTCGGAAACCGGATTGCATAGGGGAGAAGGTACGGTGTGATTCGAAATGGTCGGTGATCTGTTTGTTAACTTGGCTTTCAAAAACATTCGAAAGGCAGGGCAGGATCGATATAGGTCTGTAACAGTTTGGATCTAGAGTGTCACCCCCTTTGAAGAGGGGGATGACCGCGGCAGCTTTCCAATCTCTGGGGATCTCAGACGTTACAAAAGAGAGGTTGAACAGGCTAGTAATAGGGGTTGCGACAATTTCGGCGGCTAATTTTAGAAAGAAAGGGTCCAGATTTTCTAGCCCAGATGATTTGTAGTGGTCCAGATTTTGCAGCTCTTTCAGAACATCAGCTGTCTGAATTTGTGTGAAGGAGAAGTGGGGGGGGGGGCATGGGCAAGTTGCAGCGGAGGGTGCAGAGCTGGTGACCGGGGTAGTGGTAGCCAGGTGGAAAGCATGGCCAGCCGTAGCAAAATGCTTGTTGAAATACTCGATAATTGTAGATTTATCGGTTGTGATAGTGTTTCCTAGCTTCAGTGCAGTGGGCAGCTGGAAGGAGGTGCTATTATTCTCCATGGACTTTAGTTTCCCAAAACTTTTTGGAGTTAGTGCTACAGGATGCAAATTTCTGTTTGAAAAAGCTAGCCTTTGCTTTCCTAACTGCTTGTGTATATTGGTTCCTAACTTCCCTGAAAAGTTGCATATCGCGGGGGCTATTCGATGCTAATGCAGTACGCCACAGGATGTTTTTGTGCTGGTCAAGGGCAGTCAAGTCTGAGGAGAACCAGGGGCTATATCTGTTCTTAGTTCTGAATTTTTTGAATGGGGCATGCTTATTTAAGATTGAGAGGAAAGCACTTTTAAAGAACAACCAGGCATCCTCTACTGACGGAATGAGATCGATATCCATCCAGGATACCTGGGCCAGGTCAATTAGGAAGGCCTGCTCGCTAAAGTGTTTTAGGGAGCATTTGACAGTGATGAGGGGTGGTCGTTTGACCGCGGACCCGTTACGGACGCAGGCAATAAGGCAGTGATCGCTGAGATCCTGGTTGAAGACAGCGGAGGTGTATTTAGAGGGTAAGTTAGTCAGGATGATATCTATAAGGGTGTCCATATTTACGGATTTAGGGTTGTACCTGGTAGGTTCCTTGATAATTTGTGTGAGATTGAGGGCATCTAGTTTGGATTGTAGGATGGCAGGGGTGTTATGCATATCCCAGTTTAGGTCACCAAGGGCTGAGGGGGTTCTGTAGCAAGCGGCAACAGTGAGAGACTTATTTCTGGAAAGGTGGATTTTTAGAAGTAGGAGCTCAAACTGTTTGGGCACAGACCTGGATAGTATGATAGAGCTCTGCAGGCTATCTACAGTAGATTGCAATTCCACCCCCTTTGGCAGTTCTATCTAGAATCAATCCCACAGAAGCACACCACACCCGCTACCCAATCTAGTGTAGTATACAGCAGTCTCTATAAAATACATTCCAAATGTATTTAACTAGGCAAGTCAGTTAAGAACAAATTCTTATTTACAATGACGGCCTACACCGGCCAAACCCGGACGACGCTGGGCCAATTGTGCGCCGCCCTATGGGACTCCCAATCATGGCCGATTGTGATACAGCCTGGAATCGAACTAGGGGGTCTGTAGTGACGCCTCAAGCACTGAGATGCAGTGCCTTAGACCGCTGCGCCACTCAACACTTAAAACATGATAACAGAAAATGTGAAAAAGGGACAGCGTGAGCACAAAGAGGATTTCCAAGGGACAATGACTGGAGGAGACGATAGGAAGAGAGGCCCTCTGAAAAGTGTCAACTCCGGGTTCCCAGCAGGAACAGGTTCTCAGCTTCCTGCACCATGACTCCAGAAGGACACATTTCAGATCATTTTCCCCCTCTGAAGAGGCAGAGCAGCACTTTGTATAATATAACTCATATAACCACTTTATTTCTGAGTGTTTTTCTGTTGTCTCAGTCTTCAGCAGTATTCAATCAATGAAAATATTGTATTTCCAAAGCTTTAAAAAAAAGCCAGACATGCAAACCTAATATATTATGATAAGCAATCCACTTGGTATACGTGTAATTGGTTTACTGTAGTATCTGTTGATCTGTTATGTGATCTCATATTTTCCACTGTACTGCACTGCACATACAATGGCAGCCTGTCATTGCAGTGCTAATGTGGTCTGTGTGTTTTGTTGCAAGTGGTGCTGATCGGAGACTCTGGTGTGGGGAAGAGTAACCTGCTGTCCCGTTTCACACGGAATGAGTTCAACCTGGAGAGCAAAAGCACCATCGGTGTGGAGTTTGCCACCCGCAGCATTCAGGTAGACAGCAAGACGATAAAGGCCCAGATCTGGGATACAGCTGGACAGGAGCGCTACAGAGCCATCACCTCAGCGTGAGTGGACCAACGAAATGGATTGTACCAAGCAATCAACAACTTTGTGCTCATAACGCCCTTCTGAAACCTGCCATGAACCATGTAAACTGTTATGAGGTACTTCTCTATCTTAGTCCTACAACCTTTGACTTCCTGTTCTCCTTGCTCTGTCCTAATCAGGTACTACAGGGGGGCAGTGGGGGCTCTCCTAGTGTATGACATCGCCAAGCATCTGACCTATGAAAATGTGGAGCGCTGGCTGAAGGAGCTCAGGGATCATGCTGATAACAACATCGTCATCATGCTGGTGGGCAACAAGAGTGACCTGCGCCACCTCAGGGCAGTTCCCACAGACGAGGCTCGTGCCTTTGCAGGTAAACAACAACCACTGCAACAATAACACTGGAGGAGACAACAGCTCACTCTGGGGACAGAGATGGTTAAAAAGCCACCCATGTTTGTCTTAACTCAATCTTTTCTCTTTTTCTCCCTCAGAGAAGAATACGTTATCATTTATTGAAACATCAGCTTTGGACTCCACTAATGTGGAAGAGGCGTTCAAGAACATCCTCACGGGTAAGACGAGGGATCCACGACACACCTCACATTACTGGAAACTAGCTAGTCTATACATTTTCTTTTCAGTAACTGTCTCTTCCTTTTCCTACAGAAATCTACAGAATCGTATCACAAAAGCAGATAGCTGACAGATCAGCACATGACGAGTCTCCAGGCAACAATGTAGTGGACATCAGTGTCCCCCCCACCACCGGTGGGCAAAAAAACAAACTACTGTGCTGTCAAAGCCTGTGACCCTCACAACTCCTGTGACCCCCTTCACCCAACCCCCCTCCACTTCCTACATCACTCTCTCATCCTGTACCGCCCATTCTGTCTTTGTTCCCATATGTGGCGACGCCTTGCTTTCCCCTCCCTGTCTGTATACAAAACATCATTTTTATTACTTGTGAACTCACATGTGCTCTTCTGCCATGAAGTGAAACTTTAAAAAGCCTTTCTGTCACTTTGTCAGTCAGTCATGGATTCAATGTTGAGGTTTCTGCAGTGTAGGAACAGGGCAGTTTTCTTTGAAATGGATTGAGCTGTACAGGTGTATGATCTTTATTTGACTTATATTGTCACAGCAAAATAATGTTTAGTCTATAATATTATCTGGTCTAAAGTAGCCTACATGAAAAGTGCAATACTGTTAATATAACCGTGACGTGAGTTAGTGTGGGTTTTCAGTGAATTTATGTAAATCACAAGCTCATCTGCGTTTCCTGTGGTGCAGGAAAATCTCAGCAACAAAAGAGTGATCAAATTGCGATCCTACACCTGTATTTTAAGTTCTATAGAGTGTGCTGGACTAGTAGATTTGAACAATGACCACTAGATGTTTTTTTTTTTTTTTTTTTTTTTTTTTTTAGTCATTTAGCAGACGCTCTTATCCAGAGCGACTTACAGTTAGTGAGTGCATACATTATCTTTTTTTTATTTTTATTTTTCATACTGGCCCCCCGTGGGAAACGAACCCACAACCCTGGCGTTGCAAACACCATGCTCTACCAACTGAGCTACATCCCTGCCGGCCATTCCCTCCCCTACCCTAGACGACGCTGGGCCAATTGTGCGCCGCCCCATGGGTCTCCCGGTCGCGGCCGGCTACGACAGAGCCTGGATTCGAACCAGGATCTCTAGTGGCACAGCTAGCACTTCGATGCAGTGCCTTAGACCACTGCGCCACTCAGATGATGCTGTGTATATAGCCACTCATGAATAAGGCAGAATTATTACATTGGTATATGTATGTGTTTGTCTTCTAAGTGGCTCTTACTTTCTTGCAGGCAGTTATCATGGCAAAAATGTACCTTATTGCGTATTTATTCAAATATATTTGGCTCACCTTTTCATTGTTTTATTTTCAATAAGCACTGTAAGACTTTTCAATTAACTCCTTTAAACAAAGTAATACGTAAGTAATTCATTCATCATTAACATATCATATATGACTTATCAGTGCACTATACAGTATTGGAATTCAAATAGCTCAACCTTAGATGTATGTGGGTAAAAAATGTGAGATGTCTCCTGTGTACCTGTTCTGGGGTTATGGAGACTGTTGTAGAGGCAGGGGTCTACAAAGGTTGTTTCCGTTCCCCCACGCCCAGCCCTGTTCCTCTGACCTAGGACAGCACTATACACCATGAGAGCTAGCCTAGTGGTGCCAAATGTTGTGCTAAAGCAGCATATGGAAAATATTATGCCAGTGTTTATTCTAAGCCTCATATAGGCCTATCTGCCAGTCATTGAGTGGGAGTGAGACATTCTTTAGGTCCAGGAACTGTTCACAGGGATTACATTCAAAATGTCCCCCCTCCCATCAGTTGTTTACGTCGTTGTAGCCAAGAGAGAAATATAGGCCATTGATGGAAAACAGAATTATTGCATGACATGACCCTCTCATCTTTGGTGGTCTATTTTAAGTGGATTTAGAAACAAGCCTTATCTTAAATGGAGATGATGGGTTTTATAAGTTGAGAATGTTGACCAGTAAGTTAACATTAGACTTTTTGACATTTAAGACGTGACATTGGTTGTTGAACGATGAGTGACTGAAAACCCAGGCACTGGATAACACACAAATTCGACATGTTCCATGTAAACAAAAGTGCAAAACACTATAAAGACCAAGCAACATTTTGTAAACAATTCTAGTTTTGACTGAATGTGTTGTGATACAGTTAATCGTAAAGTCTGAAAGAACATTCAATAAGGGGCCAGTGTAGTACATGCAAGAGTCCGCATCATTAAGAAAACAAAAGGAGTGATTTATGTTTATTTTTTATTTGCTTTGCACACTTTCTTGGCTGATTGCAAGCACCAACATATTTTGGTGAAGACATCTTTCTTTTTCCACTGCACAACATAAACATTATAGTATTTCAAAACATGTTAAAGCTGGAATCCTTAATGGTGAAACTGCCACGTCCGTTTGCGATATTACAACAAAAACAACTAACACAATTTTTTCCCCAACAGACATCATTGCACCCGCGATAGAAGAGCACACGTTTTTTTGACCATGCTGTGCGACGCTCCTCAGCTACTGCAGATTCCATCCTTAATGAATAATTGAATATAAATTACAAATGATCCACATCAATATGTTAAAAACAGTGGCAAAATTAACGAGATTAAAACATTAAACAAAAACAAAGTCTACAAATCTGGTATGTTGCGCCTTCTACATACGAGCATGACAATACCCAGGAATCTTTGTTGAGTCTTCAAATCAAAAACAAAATCTGAGGAGCAATATCCAACATTTTACAATATCAGTAATGCTTTTAAATCCCTTTCAAAGTCAGTGTTATAAGACTATATAAACAACCAACCTGTATTTATTTCCATGATAGTTTTGTGAAAGTGTCATTTGATATATAAAACAAGAATCAATGCTTCTTTGGAGAGAAGGACCCGTTTGAGTTAGCGGTTAGAACACTGGAGTAATGAGGCAAGTACGTCTCTGAGCTGCCTTCAAAGGGAGCAGTGTTGCATATTGTAGGCAACTCAGACTCACATAGCAAAAGAAAACATCATATCATGGCCCTCTCAGACTGCACAAGTGAGCAAACTGCTATGATCCTTCATATGCACTAGCTTCTACATTATATTTCTGATTTCATTACATATCTTTAAGGTTATACAGTGAGGGGAAAAAGTATTTGATCCCCTGCTGATTTTTTACATTTGCCCACTGACAAAGAAATGATCACTCTATAATTTTAATGGTAGTTTTATTTGAACAGTGAGAGACAGAATAAGAACAGAAAAATCCAGAAAAACGCATGTCAAAAATGTTATAAATTGATTTGCATTTTAATGAGGGAAATAAGTATTTGACCCCCTCTCAATCAGAAAGATTTCTGGCTCCCAGGTGTCTTTTATACAAGTAACGAGCTAAGATTAGGAGCACACTCTTAAAGGGAGTGCTCCTAATCTCAGTTTGTTCCCTGTATAAAAGACACCTGTCCACAGAAGCAATCAATCAATCACATTCCAAACTCTCCACCATGGCCAAGACCAAAGAGCTCTCCAAGGATGTCAGGGACACGATTGTAGACCTACACAAGGCTGGAATGGGCTACAAGACCATCGCCAAGCAGCTTGGTGAGAAGGTGACAACAGTTGGTGCGATTATTCGCAAATGGAAGAAACACAAAATAACTGTCAATCTCCCTCGGCCTGGGGCTCCATGCAAGATCTCACCTCGTGGAGTTGCAATGATCATGAGAACGGTGAGGAATCAGCCCAGAACTACACGGGAGGATCTTGTCAATGATCTCAAGGCAGCTGGGACCATTGTCACCAAGAAAACAATTGGTAACACACTACGCCATGAAGGACTGAAATCCTGCAGCGCCCGCAAGGTCCCCCTGCTCAAGAAAGCACATATACAGGGCCGTCTGAAGTTTGCCAATGAACATCTTAATGATTCAGAGGAGAACTGGGTGAACGTGTTGTGGTCAGATGAGACCAAAATTGAGCTCTTTGGCATCAACTCAACTCGCCGTGTTTGGAGGAGGAGGAATGCTGCCTATGACCCCAAGAACACCATCCCCACCGTCAAACATGGAGGTGGAAACATTATGCTTTGGGGGTGTTTTTCTGCTAAGGGGACAGGACAACTTCACCGCATCAAAGGGACGATGGACGGGGCCATGTACCGTCAAATCTTGGGTGAGAACCTCCTTCCCTCAGTCAGGGCATTGAAAATGGGTCGTGGATGGGTATTCCAGCATGACAATGACCCAAAACACACGGCCAAGGCAACAAAGGAGTGGCTCAAGAAGAAGCACGTTAAGGTCCTGGAGTGGCCTAGCCAGTCTCCAGACCTTAATCCCATAGAAAATCTGTGGAGGGAGCTGAAGGTTCGAGTTGCCAAACGTCAGCCTCGAAAACGTAATGACTTGGAGAAGATCTGCAAAGAGGAGTGGGACAAAATTCCTCCTGAGATGTGTGCAAACATGGTGGCCAACTACAAGAAACGTCTGACCTCTGTGATTGCCAACAAGGGTTTTGCCACCAAGTACTAAGTCATGTTTTGCAGAGGGGTCAAATACTTATTTCCCTCATTAAAATGCAAATCAATTTATAACATTAGTGACATGCGTTTTTCTGGATTTTGTTGTTGTTATTCTGTCTCTCACTGTTCACATAAACCTACCATTAAAATTATAGACTGATCATTTCTTTGTCAGTGGGCAAACGTACAAAATCAGCAGGGGATCAAATACTTTTTTCCCTCACTGTAGGTAAGAGTAAAGTTATCAAATTGCACACTTGCTGTAACTACACCCTACATTGAAAAGTCTCCATAGATTTACATTTACATCATTTAGCAGACGCTCTTATCCATAGCTCCCAATATGTCAGGTGGAGGCGAAAGGACCAATCAGAGACAGCATGTGACAGGGCAGTGGCCCATCACTGACAATGCAGATAAGAACTCTCTCCATGCTGAAAGATCCTCAACACTGTTCCACTCCACAACACACATTGGCATACAGGAAAATAACCTCATACTAAGCTCTAGTATTACTATTTAACAACAAATTTATTTTCTAGACAAGAGGATTCCTTTAGAGTCCCAACTGACAATTTACAAAAGAAACAACAACAAAGAACATGGAGGATACTTCTATTTTTAGAAGGGGTCTCCCAACAGGACACCACTGAACTAGGCTGACTAGTGTCTGTCTATGCTGTTCAAGTTTAGAGGATGACCTTCTTATTTCATTTACTGTGACTGGAAATCAAAATTGTTCAGGTTGATTTCAGAAAGCCGCATAACACTTACACGGCTTAGCTGTCCCACTGCAAAGCCCCTCAGGTGATCAACCCTCAGTCAAACCTATGCATGAAGCCTACAGGTACTGGAAGAGTTGAACCTGCACATACAAATAAGCAATACACAGGAGTATGATCACCATGAAGGGATTCTAACAAATACTATTATGAAATAAATAAATTAGCGTCAAATCTAGCCTGAGGTTTATGGCTTCTGTGGACCATAATTTGAGCTTTCTACTGAGGAGGCTATTTGCATTCAGTCTCTCTTCTATTCAGGCCTGTTAACATTCAGGGTCAATACTTTTACGTTCAACCATGGACGACACTATGATTAACAATACATATAGAAATATGCAGAAATTAAGCTTGGCTAAAACAGAGGGGCTTCCGAAAGGACCATACAAGGAACAAAGTAAAACATACAAAACTGAGCAAAGAGGGACTCAAACCAAATACCCATATATATTCATTAAAAGATCCAAACAGATGATAATAACATGGCCAGCCATATACATCTGTGTTTTTGCATATCTCTCTTGTCCAGAGGTCAACTCATGCGTTTTAAAGCTGTGGTAGATGGGTGAGAACAATGCCTACACTGGTCTTGCACCACACACTGGGTTCTACTGTCAAGGTACAGTCGGCATCTGTAGACGTCTGAGTCTAGACGTCAGTCTGGTCGCCTGCATATCAGAAAGGGAATACAACTGCTACAAAACCTGAAGTAACATCAATTAACCAATCTATGCTCTTGCTGCATGTGATTACTAGCGAATGTTATGACTACACAAAAAAACACACAATATTTAAAAGCCTTTCATTGGTTTATCGTCGTAGGAGAGCAATGTACTAGCTATTGAAGAGTGATCTTGACCTTGTGCTACTCTAACATTGTTCTGGAAAGGTAAGACTTACTTTCCATCAACCACAAAAAGTTTGAACTTCATGTTTGTGGAATATACATTTCCATAAAGTTTTGATTTCTCCCATCAGTGACCTACCTACCTAGATCAGCTCACTCTATTTGGACAGTTTTCATTAAGTGCTGATAGTATGCGAGACCTCTCTATACTCTAGGGAGGAAACCCAGTTCAACATACTAACTAGTAACACTAGATCAATGGGAGCTCAACCAACCTCTCGTACAATCCCCCACAGTAAAACAAAACAAAAACAAATACTTTCCCCTGAAAAATTTAAGTAATAGTACATGCGTGCAAAACTGTGCATGTTGGTAGCAGTCTCATCACGTACTGTGAGAGGAAACTGTGTCCAGTGTTTTATTGCACAATCTCCATCTTTATTAACAACATTCCTGCTCACACCAAGGGGGAAAACAGATGGAGTTGAATTGAAGGGAGTCAACTGGCTTGCGTAGAAATGTCATAAGCATCTATAATCCCCCCAGTCTAATAGCCTGTGGCTGGTAAACAGGAATCAAAGCTTTAAGCTTCTTACTTCTACACTCAGTGGTTAGGGAACCAACCGCTGGATGGATCGCCTTAGTTAGATCAGCGGCAACGATCCATGCTACACTTTTAGAGTCGGCTGTGAAGGACTGAAATGAAAATTAGGGAGGAGAAAGAGGGAATTGTCCACTTAAACACTAGAGAGTTTGGTCTTAAAGCTTCAGCAGCCGTCTCCACTGAGCATCTGTCCAATGAGTCCTTGGTCGTCCCTTTGCAGTGCCCAGCGAAGTCCCATCCAATCAACTGCCCTTCTCAAAACCTTCAGAAACACCATACTGCACGGTAATCACTGGCCTCTAACATACTGGTTTCTTTACCAGATCACTAAAAACACCATCAGAGGCTCACACGACAAAATAAAAAAGGGCGGAAAACGAAGTGCTGACGATGATGATACACGTAGGTAAAAAATGATTTTAATAGAAAAAGAGATAAAGTGCTTGGGCTCTGGTTGGAGACGTGGTTTTTCATTGAGAACCTCCAGCACACGAAGAACACCAACTTCAACCTTCCCACCTTTGACCTCAAACTATGGTCTCGTCTGCTGTCTTTTTCAGCAGCTTGGTGGAGAGCAAGGAATGCTGGGTAGAATGCCGCCCCTTTGCGTCGGGAAGGAGCAGGCGTACTTTCTGATGGGTTCGTCTCCACTCAGAGTAGAGCTGACAGTGGTAGCGGAAGGATACCTGCAGGAGAGAAGGGTAGAGTAGAGGAGAGGATAGAGTAGAGAATATTGGTGTTCATCCAAGCTATAAACAAAGTTAAGGTTAGGATTTGGGGAGGGCAGCTGATCCTAGATATGTGCCTACTTACCAGAGTCCAGAGGATGTAGATGGTGAAAAGGGCGATGGTGAGGGCGATGAGGCCCACGGCCTCCAGTCTGCTGTTGAAGTGCAGGTGGTCTTGGGCTCCCCTCAGACACAGCCAGCCAGAGATGGCCGCCAGGGGCGTGATTAACAGGAAGCACACCATGTCACAGAACAGCGTGCGCTTCTCGGTACGAGGGCCCGGGTCCCGCAGCCACTGTGGAAAGAGAAGAGAGGACAGAGAAGAAAGAGAAAATGTACTGAGCCTACATGAGCTCTGAGTATGCACATGCACTATAGCCCAAACAGGGGACACTGGAGGACTCTGCTTTTCTTCTTCAGGGTTTGGTTTGGTTTATTGAGATACCCATTAGTAGATCAAGGGTTAAACTTCCTGGGTTTATACATCATTCATTACATAAACATTATGGCACATACCCAAAAAAATTACAAAAAATCCCTAATGCCTCCCTAACTACATTTCTGTTGACATATTCAGGATTTAATATGCATGAGTAAAACACAACTTAGTAAACATAGCTGCATGTTGGTGACCCATGAGCAAGGCCAGAAATTCTATATCAACACATAAGTATTGCAGCTACCTACAAACACAATTTTGCATTGAGTAATCTATGCAAGCAGAAAGAGAGAAAAAAATGAATCATGCTCATGTGTTTTGACACAGCATAAGCACAACCACACACACAGAGGCAGGCAGAGGAGCACAGACAAGCTAAAGGCATTGCCCTTTGTTACCTCTGTGAGGGGCTTGGGCCTGCGCTCAATGGTGAACTCTGTGTGGCACAGCTCACAGTAGCTGGTGTTGGAGGAGGAGAGCCACTTCTCCAGGCAGCTCTTGTGCACCGTGCCCAGAGTCCCTGTGCAGTTGCAAGGGGACAGAAGCCCCTCGCCGTTGGCCCCCTCGTGGCAGATCCGGCAGATTGGCCCATCGCTGGAGGAAAGAGGAAGAGAGAGGTCCTGAACAGGGTACTCTAACTGGGTTTACTTACTACAGCCTGCCGGATGCCACTTGGGATAACATGTCACAGTCTTAACAGCTAAGCTAATTCTCATACATGCCGAGGCTAACTGTGAGAGTGAGACATTATCTTTCCGGGAACACCCACACTCTGACACATACTTGCATACACTTTCACGAGTTCCAAATATGACTACTATAAAAACCTGTTGGAAAGCCCTGAATATCTCATAAATGCTTAGCTCTGAAAGTATGAATGTTTTCAGGAGTTTTCAGCCACAGTACCTCTGTGTGCTCAAAGGTTTGATGATGGTGGAGAGCAGCCGCCCATCTTTGGCTGTGACCTGGGTGACATACTGTGCTCTGCAGTTATCCGACTCCTCCACACTTTTGGACAGGCCAGCGTTGCCAGTGCAGTCGCACAGGGAGCCCGGGAGGTGGCAACACTCCCCCGTTGTCATGGTTACACCGTCCAGGGGTCAAGAGTCAGTGGTCAAAGGGATTATGGGGGGAGCAGACTCAGCTCCCTCAGGTCAGAGCAGTTAGGCCCAACGGCTGAAGAGCGATGGGATGGAGTTAGGACCTCATTCACTTCATACAATACACTACTGGTTACTTCACAGAACTTATTATGAGACAAATAGTGAGGTTTATCATATATATAATAATCATTTTCTTTGACCAACATTAGAACACTGAGCTGTATGCGGCCTAAATGATGGCAACATGAAATAGAATCTAAACATTTCTTCAAAACATTGATAATTTGTATTGTATTAAATATGGGGGAAAAAATAATGATCTTCTTGTCTGAAAATCCAGTTGAGCCAATTTGCCAAAACACAACACAGCTACTTCTAAAGGGCAACCTCTGTATGAGCAGCAGGGCACAAGAGAGTGATAAACAGCTGTCATCTCATCTCTGTACCCCACACATACAGTACATTCGGAAAGTATTCAGACCCCTTCACCTTTTCCACATTTTGTTACGTTACAGCCTTATTCTAAAATGGATTAAATTAATGTTTTTCCTCATCAATATACACACAATACCCCATAATGACAAAGCGAAAAAATATTTTTAAAATATTTTGCAAATGAAAACAAAAATGAAAAACAGAAATACCTTATTTACATAAGTATTAAGAACCTTTGCTATGAGACTCGAAATTGAGCTCAGGTGCATCCTGTTTCCATTGATCATCCTTGGAGATGTTTCTACAACTTGATTGGAGTCCACTTGTGTTAAATTCAATTGAGTGGACATGATTTGGAAAGGCACACACCTGTCTATATAAAGTCTCACAGTTGACAGTGCATGTCAGAGCAAAAACCATGCCATAAGGTCAAAAAATGTCTGCTGCATTTTGAAGGTTCCCAAGAACACAGTGGCCTCAATCATTCTTAAATGGAAGAAGTTTGGAACCACCAAGTCTCCTAGAGCTGGCCGCCCGGCCAAACTGAGCAATCGGGGGAGAAAGGCCTTGGTCAGGGAGGTGACCAAGAACCCGATGGTCACTCTGAAAGAGCTCCAGAGTTCCTCTGTGGAGATGGGAGAACCTTCCAGAAGGACAACCATCTCTGCAGCACTCCACCAATCAGGCCTTTATGGTAGAGTGGCCAGACGGAAGCCACTCCTCAGTAAAAGGCACATGACAGCCCGCTTGGAGTTTGCCAAAAGGCACCTAAAGGACTCTCAGACCATGAGAAACAGGACAAGCCTCTGAATGTCCTTGAGTGGCCCAGCCAGAGCCCGGACGTGAACCCAATCGAACATCTCTGGAGAGACCTGAAAATAGCTGTGCAGCGACACTCCCCATCCAACCTGTCAGTGCTTGAGAGGATCTGCAGAGAAGAATGGGAGAAACTCCCCAAATACAGGTGTGCCAAGCTTGTAACATCATACTCAAGAAGACCCGGGGCTGTAATCGCTGCCAAAGGTGCTTCAACAAAGTACTGAGTAAAGGGTTTGAATACTTATCTAAATGTGATTTCAGTTTATTTAATTTGCAAAAATGTCTAAACCTGTCTTTGCTTTGTCATTATGGGGTATTGTGTGTAGATTGAGGAAAGAAACAATTTAATCAATTTTAGAATAAGGTTGTAAAGTAACAATGTGGAAAAAGTGAAGTGGTCAGAATACTTTCCGAATGCACTGTAGATATCCTCACCCAAATAGGCTCACTGAATTAATCAGTCTGTATGGGATGTGCCTTACAACTTCTAGGAAATGCACTGACATGACCTAATGATAGTTTTGGAGAAAATAAAACATTTCAATGTATATTTTTGATATCAAAGCCAACATGAAAAGCTCGAAGACCATTGCATTTTTATTGGACAATCAAAAATACAATACAGACACCAGTGTCTAACCAGATAGCAGAATATCACGATATTAGGGGGGATAATTTTGATTTTATATATTAATCAATGTGGTTACTACAAGCAAACCTAGCTAGTTAGCAAGCTAGGTACATAATGCTAGGTGTCGAATCCCGACAACACACTCAAATACAGACACAAACCCCCGACACAGCTGGATAATGGTCAGCCAGCTGTTTAACTTGCTACAGTAGCTTGCTAACTAAGCCTATCGAGCTAGCTCAAGATAGACCACACTAGATACCATACTGCTTGCTACATGAAAATGACAATGTATTATGATTTAATGTGTTCACAGCAGTGGCGTTGATTTAAGCGAATGCCTTCTACTATGAAAAGGGTCTAGTTAGCCGGCTAGCTTCTTCATGTTACCCAGTTAGCTATTTATGTTAGCCAGCCGACCGAGACGATAGAAGAAAATGTATTACTCACTGCGTTCCTCCTTTTTTCATTTTAACAGGTGATATGTGTGGTTGTCAATATATTAAATACTCATTGAGAATTCCTTTCAGCTAGCTAAGTATCTATGCCAGTTCTCGTCTAGCTGACAGACGACAACAATAGCCTCATACAAAAAAATAATAATCTGTGGTAGCCTCCTCCACGGTCGTCACACAGCCACAAAGTCATAAACCCCGCCCATTTCTACCATTTATTTTCTTAAAATCTGATTTTAAACTTAACTTTAACCCTAACCTTAACCACACTGCTAAATGAATGCATAATCTTAACCATAAATTAAGCACATTTTAGTTATGCATTTTTAAGATATAGACAATTCTGACTTTATGGCTGTGGTAACTAGTGGAAACCCTCCTCCACCGACGGCGTTTCCGCTCAACAGTTACCTTGCTCGCCAATTTGGCTGGCTTTCTGCTCCCGATTACTAGGCTACAAAATGTAAAATATAGAAAACTGATAGAAATACAATATCTCACCCCTTTGTATGTGAAATAAAACAGATTGATGTACAATACTTTTTTCCATATGGAAGGGACCTTTATTTTGTCAAATGTACATTAACACCAGAAGCAAGCACACATTTTGTATGCCAATGTAGGCCTCCCACGTTTAATTCATCACGAACAAAAAGCGACTTGCTATATTTACATAGTGGATTGCGCGTAAACATTTAATAAAACGAATTTAATACCCTTTAAAAAAGACCTGCTGTAATTCAGTATGTCTTCCTTGTATTAGAGTAGTTGAATGTGTGGTATCATTCATCATGTGCATAAATCATGGATAAAACATTTTTTTAATCATTGACTGAAATTAATTAATCTAAAGCTGATCAGGCATATAGTAAAAAAATAAAGAAAAAAAGATTCACATTCAGACATTTCATCAAAGTTGCACAATATCTAATTAACACTATTTTCTGGTGAGCATGTACTGTATCTTGAAGTAAAGTCTTCAAAGTGTTCAACCAAGTCTATATTGCATAAGTCTACCATTACATTTCATATATTTTTTGGGCATCTGTGCATTCAATTCTTCAAAATCTGTAAATAAGTCTCAAATTGCATTTGAGATGATATTGGTTCTCCTACTTCCTACTGGTAGCAGTTATGTGAACATGTATTTCTGTATCAAGCATTCAATGTTATATGCTATACATACACCAATAGAAGTTCTGCAGGACATTTTCAGCACTTAATTACAAGACTTGAGAAGAGAGTTCTGTTTATTCAAAGAAAATGTCTGCCAACGTGACATGAATTTGGTTTATTTCCATTTCAATGTTCCTTGATGAAAAGGCAGATGAACAGATTTGTTTATTGAATTAAAAGTTGGACCTGTGACAGAAAATTACATACTTGTGACCACACTGCCAAAAAGGCAATTCTACTAGAAAGGGGAGATAAGGCATTATAGCCAACCATACAAAGGCAACCATCCTTCCTTAAATTCCACTGTCAACTCAAATTTGAGACACTTTCATGGTTTGACTAGAGTGAAGCAATGATAGCATTCTCCACCCTAGATATTGCAGTGTTTTATTAGCCCCCCCCCCACCCCACCCCACCCCACAAACAAAACCAAGCTAAGTGTTGGGATTTGAAGACGTTAGTCATTTAGAATTTGTTGTTGATTTTACATGGCGAGTTCCATTGAAATGATCAGCAGGACACAAGTTTCATATTCACTTTTGCTTTCAATTGTAGTCTGACTACTGGATCAGTTCCAAGTATAATCTAATGACAGAGAGAACAGTGGCAGCAGCTAACAGTGAAACAAAGCACATGAAACAATTGGTAAAAGTCCAATCTTGACAAATGTACCTCTCTGCAAGTTTACTGTTTAGATGAGATTATTTCAGGTTGAAAATGATTTCAGCCACACTTTGGTATCTCTGTGAACCTCAGACTTAAACAAAAAATTAAATTCACAATTTTCTGAAACACATATCAGCCCAAGTTTGTCACTACCCAGGTCCCTGTTCTTGCTCCTTTCATGCCACACTCAAGACAGGGTCTCCGAGGACAGCAAGGAGGCAACCAGAAGCTCGGTTTTATCTAGAAGGGATACAGCTTTTGTGAAAATGTACTTTTCGTAGCAGATTAGGAGAATTTACACAGCAGGTTAGGATAACTAACATGGCATGTTAGGATAATTGGGTTTTAGGAAAAGGGTTCGGGTTAGCTAAAATGCAAAATATTTCAACTTGATGTCAATTTTGACACAAGCTGTATCCCATCTAGAATTGACCCGAAAGCTCAGGACAAACTGATCCCTCACCATTCCTTCTACAGGATTGGGTCACATGATCAGAGCCTGAATACAAAATAGACCCCAAAAAAAGACCGCCGAAAAATCAGAGCACTTGGTAAAAGACAAGTTGAGGTTAGAAGAGGATAGCATACAGACAAACAACGAACATGAGAAAAAAAGTGAAAAAGGAATGTTATCTACAAAGTCTGAGTTTCTAGGAGACTTCTAAAACACATGGAGGAATAGAGACAGCAGCAGCACAACACCCAGGAGAAAAGCAGCTGAAGAGAGTGAGGGGTGGGATGGAGGTGGGGCAGTGGTATTGAGTGTCACAGGCTTTGACAGCACGGTACTTTGTTTTTTTGCCCATCGGTGGTGGGGGGGACACTGATGTCCACTACATTGTTGCCTGGAGACTCGTCATGTGCTGATCTGTCAGCTATCTGCTTTTGTGATACGATTCGGTGGATTTCTGTGCAAAAAAGGAAATGTCAGTTACTCATGATTAAATATTTACCTTGATACAGCAATCATTCCATTCATGTGTTAGAAATCACAATTTGACTTGAAACTAATTAAATGTAAATAGTCTTATTTAGTGGATCCTGTCGCTTACCCGTGAGGATGTTCTTGAACGCCTCTTCCACATTAGTGGAGTCCAAAGCTGATGTTTCAATAAATGATAACGTATTCTTCTCTGAGGGAGAAAAAGAGAAAAGATTGAGTTAAGACAAACATGGGTGGCTTTTTAACCATCTCTGTCCCCAGAGTGAGCTGTTGTCTCCTCCAGTGTTATTGTTGCAGTGGTTGTTGTTTACCTGCAAAGGCACGAGCCTCGTCTGTGGGAACTGCCCTGAGGTGGCGCAGGTCACTCTTGTTGCCCACCAGCATGATGACGATGTTGTTATCAGCATGATCCCTGAGCTCCTTCAGCCAGCGCTCCACATTTTCATAGGTTAGATGCTTGGCAATGTCATACACTAGGAGAGCCCCCACTGCCCCCCGGTAGTACCTGATTGGGCCAGAGCAAGGAGAATAGGAGGTCAAAGGTTGTGGGATTTAGACAGAAGCATTTTCTCAGAATGGTTTCAATACTATCCAAATAAGTTTGTTCCGTAAAGGGCAGGTTACAGGAAGACGAGCATCCTTAACATTATTGAGCATCCTCCTCCACTCACGCTGAGGTGATGGCTCTGTAGCGCTCCTGTCCAGCTGTATCCCAGATCTGTGCCTTTATCGTCTTGCTGTCTACCTGAATGCTGCGGGTGGCAAACTCCACACCAATGGTGCTTTTGCTCTCCAGGTTGAACTCATTCCGTGTGAAACGGGACAGCAGGTTACTCTTCCCCACACCAGAGTCTCCGATCAGCACCACTGGCAACAAAACAAACATTAGCGCTGCTGTCTCACAGTGGAAAAGATGAGGGTTGAGTGGTGACTAGTACAGGGTACATTTGTTCAGTTAGATTCAACAATGTCTAAATGAAGCCCAAATCTACTGAGCATGTTTATCCTGGTAGCTAGTCTATGAGACACTCATGATGACTGGTGCTGATACTTATGGAAAGTTACTTGTATGACAAAACATTTTGTATCTAGGACAGAGATAAGTTGTCAGTCATAACTGTTCTTAATATGTCAGACAAGTGGTGACCAAGCTAGCATTGTACAATAAACTGTCTAATCTCTTTGGTTAGTTGGTGGTAATGGCTAGCCTAGTTAGCACAGTGCCAGTGGCTTTGGCTAACACCATCCCAGCTGATTGTCAGACATTACATTTACTAACTAGCTAGTTAATTAGTTAGCCATATGCTATCCACTCCAGTATATTAAAACTAGTTAACTGTAGCTAGTGACTTTTTCACATTGTCTGAGTGTAGCTAGCTACCAAACTAAAGGGTGATGAGACGTTTAGCTAGCTAACGTTACCTATTAGGCCGCAGATAACCGCTTATTAGATAGCCAACTAGGTAACCTGTTAGCTATCAGCTAGCTAGTTTGGCTAAAGTGAACGTTAGCTAGCTGGGGAGACTTCCTCTCTCTTTCAACTTCAACTACTGCGAAAACAAGTAAATGTAAACTTCGACTACTACTACACATGTAGGGCGCGTCTTACCTTTGAATAGATAGTCGTATTCGTCGTCTCGGGTTCCCATTTTGAAGGTTTCCCACTTTATGAAAGAACTTCACTACCAAAGAGAACCTCTTGACTCTGTCCCCAACCACTGCTCAGACCAACAGTAAATCAGGCTCCGAAGGGAATATGCACGTGAGCTGAGGGACAACTGCTTTGACCAATTAGAGGTGTATCTCGGTTAATTGATAGATACATTGACAAATAATATCCTTCTCCATTTTATATTAACCAATGGCCATAGGAAGGGCCGTTATCAGAGGAAAACTGTTAGCTTCCCATCGCAATCCATCATAGGTATTTATGAAGTCTACATTCTAGAAAATGTGGATTAAGCAATACTTTTTTTCACCATGTGAGTATTTCTGTTCATACCTGCATTTGGTGGTTTAGGAAGATGAGCTTATTATTGAAAAGACAAACTAACAAAAATGGACTAGAATCAATTATTTATTTGCCATGAAATAATTCTGATTATTATAACAATTCTCAAATTGTCTGGTACTTAACAATTATGTTGTACAGTAATTCAATGGTCCCAAAGATTTTAGCTGCTGTTGCTATGATGCCCGAAGTAAACCCTTGATATTCCTCTGGAATTCAACTAAGAGAAACAAACAAATTCATACTGAATTCATAACTTACAATTTAGTGAAGAGTTCAGTTCATAGCTAGTCTAACATTATTAATCAAATCATTTGGTGTAACAAAAAACAGAACAAGAAAGGGGAAACATTAGCCTACTTCTGTCATAATGAAGGCTCTAAGCTTTGATTGTGTCAAAGGCAGAAAGCAAAACAACAACAGGATATGATGCCATATAAGTAGTAAAATATTCATTTTTGTAATTCAATGGTCTCTTTTATAATTTGGTGAAATGTTGTCCTATTAAAAAGTTCCATTGTTTTCACTGACATGGAATTGACGACAGGGCCTTTCTACAAAGATGGTCAAAGGACATCTACATAATATTCTCTTTGTGATAGCTTTATGTGATTGCTTTTTACCTGACTGGAGGTTCTTCAGTCTTTTTTGGACTGTTAGTAAATGCTGCATGCCTTCAGAATCCTTCAACCCACAGGGGGCGCTAGACCAAAGCTTCTTCTCCTGGCCTAAATATTGCCTGTGAAGAAAAGAAGACAAAACAATACATACAGGACTGTCATGGCACTCAAAAATTTAAAAGCATAATACCACAGAACCTTCCATCCACTCTCCCAGGAGACAGCAACATGGGAGAGTATGAAAATAAAAGATCTGGGCTAAATTATTAAATCTATGCCGAGATGTTGATTAGATTACCCATAGGGATATGGAGAAGCAGGTCTCGTAGAGAGGTTCCTCTGGGGCATCGTCACAGCAGAAGGGGAACGGGGGGAGGGTGATGCTCCACTTATCCATGCTACTACTCTATATTGGTCCCTCTTATCCCCTCCTTCTTCCAGCAGCTGGTGACACTGCAGAGAATCTAAACTGTCCACCTGCAGAAAAGAGGCACATACAGCCAACAACTCAGTCATATTGTAATAATGATGCAGAAATGCTCTGTTGCTTCTATGGTTTGTGAAACCTCAGCTGTGCTTCTTCATGAGGTAGGTCTACTGCTACTAAGGTAGCGTAACAAGACTAGTAGCAATACCTTGAAAGTTATAATTTATTGTCTGAGTAAGCGTGCCGTAAGCAAAATATACCAATGTGTACTGGTCATCAATTGTACATGATTTACAATAAAACAAAAGGATGTCTCACCAGGTGTTCTGCCTTTTTTTCCCATTCCTTGCTCTTGTCTAACATCCAGTCTTGTCTGCATCCAGTCTTGCCTCCTCTGGTCGTCTCTCCCAGCCTCCTTCTCCAGGACAGAGTGCAGGTTGGTTTTCAAATTGAAGAACCCCTCCTTCAGGCCACCCATGCGGGGGTGAAGTGATGTGGTCCCTTCTCCAGGCCACAGACCAGTCTGCACCTCAGCAGGTCTGCCTGTAGGTGGTGCTGTACATCCGCCAGGTCCTTCTGACACATCCTCAGGCTATTCAGGTCAAACTCCCTCTCCTCAATTTAGGTTTTCAGCTTCTTTCTGTCGAAGTGGAGAGAGAGGGGATATAAAGGAGTCATATCACGTCCAATCATTGGCTAGGGTCACTGTTGTATCTTCATTGTTTTTATCTGTTTTTATTTGTATCAATAAAGGAAAGTGTGTGTGTGTATGTGTGTACTTATGTTAACCTGAGATCGTTGATAGTGTCTTGCAGCTCTTTCTCATATCTAATGGATCTCTCGAGCTCCTTGTTTGCCTTTGACTGCTCCTCCAGTAATTGAGTGTTCAAGGCAACAACTAACAAAGCCAATATGAAATCAGGATTATACAGTGAAAGGGAAACATCTGATATTTACATTTTTACATTTTAGTCATTTAGCAGACGCTCTTATCCAGAGCGACTTACAGTTAGTGAGTGCATACGTTTTTCATACAATATAATATAATCTTCAACATTATTCACTCACTCTGGCTGTGCAGCTCCTGCTCTGTTGAAGACAATTTCTTTGTAGCTCTGTTCAGTTTCTGTTGAAGCTGCCCCACCTCCTTCACTTGCCCAGACTCAGTCTTGTCCAGTGCATCCTGCAGAATCTCCACTTTCTCCCTGGCACTCTGAAGACCCATCTGCAGGTCCTGCACTGTGCTGTGGTGCCTCTCCTCAGAAACCCTGAGAGTCTTCATCAAACTCTTGATCCTCTCCTCCTGCTCCTTTTTGCATTTCTCCAGAGACTGCTGCTGGGCCTTGGCCGCCCTGATCCGGCTCTCGCTGACCGCCAGGGCCTCCTGTAAGGACTGGGTCTTCTCCTCTGAAGATCTGAGAGCCTCCTTCAGGGCTTTGGCCTTCTCATCTGTAGCCTTGAGCCAATGTTTTGTCGACTGGAAATTTTCCTCTGAGGAGTTGAGGCTCTGCTGCAGGGACTGGGCTTTCTCCTCCGAGGCCCAATGGTTGTGTTGGAGGGATACGACCTTCTCCTCTGAATACTTCAGGCTCTTCTGTAGGAGAGAGACCTTTTCCTCAGACTTCCAGTTATTGTGCTGAAGGAACTTAACCTTCTTTTCTGAAGCGCTAAGGTTCTAGCTGAGGGTCTGGATGTTCTTCTCAAAGGAAGCCAGGTTCTGTTGCAGAGACTGGGTCCTCTCTTGGGAGTCCCCAAGGATTTTCTGCAGACTTTGGCCTCTCTTCTCAGACTCCTCCAGGTCTTGCTGAAGGGACTGGAGCCTCTTGTCGGAGACCCATAGGATTTTCTGCACACTGAGTTCTCTCATTGGAGCCCATGAGATTGTGCTGCAAAGACAGGACCTGTCCCTCAAACTCCTTGAGTTTCTGCTCCATGGAGTGTACCTTGTCCTCAGACAGAGGTTCTGCTGGAATGTGAGCTTGGAGCTCTTGTTCTCCTGCTCAGCAGAATGGAGGGACAGGTGGAGGCTCTTGATCACAGTCTCATGTCGACTCTTGGCATTTCTGAGCTCCAATTTTATGGCATCGTTCTCAGAGAGTAGGAGTGTACGGTCGGATGAGATCAGGTAGCTCTGCACGTAATCCTTCAGTCAAACACAGCACAGAGGATAAATGCAGGATGGTCACACATGACTATGAATATTATCCTATAGCAGCGATCATCAACTAGATTCAGCCGCAGTCCAATTTTTTTGTTGAGTGGATAGTCGGGGGCCGGAACATAATTACAAATAATTTGTAGACCGCAAATTGACCGCAAGAAGCCCAACAGATATAATGTTTGACTAAAACATAATCCTTTCAAACCTTGCTTACATTTGTACATGATCACGTCATGTCTCTCTATTATGCGTGGGAATACTTAAGAACAGATTTCTTAAATTAAAATCACTTGGAGCTGATTTCCTGGTGTTTTTTTGTGTGTCTTTTATGTCTAACAATGAAAATTCCACACACATTTTCTTTTTTGGTAAAGGCTAATTTCAAAAGGAACCATTTGAGGGAGGGGGTATGTAAGAGAATGTGTTTGTCCTGTTGGTCTTTCCTGTGACAGCTATCCTCCAATGCTGATGACTTAGTTACCAATTGACATGCATCTGAACGAATTTGATCCAAAATAGGCTGAGAACATAAAACGCTTTTGTTTTTCAGACAGATAGATATTCCCACAGCAGATCACAGAGCCATGGCCAATTACTGGATACTAAAAGAAAACCATAAAAACATGTAAAACAGTGATTTGCTACTATGCATCATCAATCATTATCATACTGTACCTTCATGTGAGCTTGGACCATGGCCTCAACTTCTTTGTAGGACATTTTGGACCTACAGTGGGGAGAACAACTATTTGATACACTGCCAATTTTGCAGCTTTTCCTACTTACAAAGCATGTAGAGGTCTGTAATTTTTTATCATAGGTACACTTCAACTGTGAGACGGAATCTAAAACAAAAATCCCGAAAATCACATTGTATGATTTTTAAGTAATTCATTTGCATTTTATTGCATGACGTAAGTATTTGATACATCAGAAAAGCAGAACTTAATATTTGGTACAGAAACCTTTGTTTGCAATTACAGAGATCATACGTTTCCTGTAGGTTTTGACCAGGTTTGCACACACTGCAGCAGGGATTTTGGCCCACTCCTCCATACAGACCTTCTCCAGATCATTCAGGTTTCAGGGCTGTCGCTGGGCAATACAGACTTTCAGCTCCCTCCAAAGATTTTCTATTGGGTTCAGGTCTGGAGACTGGCTAGGCCACTCCAGGACCTTGAGATGCTTCTTACGGAGCCACTCCTTAGTTGCCCTGGCTGTGTGTTCCGGGTCGTTGTCATGCTGGAAGACCCAGCCACGACCCATCTTCAATGCTCTTACTGAGGGAAGGAGGTTGTTGGCCAAGATCTCGCGATACATGGCCCCATCCATCCTCCCCTCAATACGGTGCAGTCGTCCTGTCCCCTTTGCAGAAAAGCATCCCCAAAGAATGATGTTTCCACCTCCATGCTTCACGGTTGGGATGGTGTTCTTGGGGTTGTACTCATCCTTCTTCTTCCTCCAAACACGGCGAGTGGAGTTTAGACCAAAAAGCTCTATTTTTGTCTCATCAGACCACATGACCTTCTCCCATTCCTCCTCTGGATCATCCAGATGGTCATTGGCAAACTTCAGACGGGCCTGGACATGCGCTGGTTTGAGCAGGGGGACCTTGCGTGCGCTGCAGGATTTTAATCCATGACGGCGTAGTGTGTTACTAATGGTTTTCTTTGAGACTGTGGTCCCAGCTCTCTTCAGGTCATTGACCAGGTCCTGCCGTGTAGTTCTGGGCTGATCCCTCACCTTCCTCATGATCATTAATGCCCCACGAGGTGAGATCTTGCATGGAGCCCCAGACCGAGGGTGATTGACCGTCATCTTGAACTTCTTCCATTTTCTAATAATTGCGCCAACAGTTGTTGCCTTCTCACCAAGCTGCTTGCTTATTGTCCTGTAGCCCATCCCAGCCTTGTGCAGGTCTACAATTTTATCCCTGATGTCCTTACACAGCTCTCTGGTCTTGGCCATTGTGGAGAAGTTGGAGTCTGTTTGATTGAGTGTGTGGACAGGTGTCTTTTATACAGGTAACGAGTTCAAACAGGTGCAGTTAATACAGGTAATGAGTGGAGAACAGGAGGGCTTCTTAAAGAACAACTAACAGGTCTGTGAGAGCCGTAATTCTTACTGGTTGGTAGGTGATCAAATACTTATGTCATGCAATAAAATGCAAATTAATTACTTAAAAATCATACAATGTGATTTTCAGGATTTTTGTTTTAGATTCCGTCTCTCACAGTTGAAGTGTACCTATGATAAAAATTACAGACCTCTACATGCTTTGTAAGTAGGAAAACCTGCAAAATCGGCAGTGTATCAAATACTTGTTCTCCCCACTGTATCTATTTCATCATGAAGCTGTCTTATTATAACACTGTAGCATTCTAGAAAATAAAAGAGTGAATTACACCTTTTAACATTTTATAAAAAAGAAAAATAGGAATTTGGTGAACCAAAAGAAAGGCCCAAATCAAGACAATGTTTGTCTTACCACTGGGTTGATTTCCCTCAGCACTAAGAACTCCAGATGCTGGACTTGAGCTTCTACTATTGCCTGCATTTGACATTTTGTCTCCAAGACCCTAGAACAAACCAGACACAGTTAAATAAGATATGTAAAAGAAAAATATTAGCTAATTAACAAAGTTTTGATGAAAGGACAACAAACCGCCATGTGGGGAGAGTTTTAGTGAAGTCTCCGTTGTCCATCGTCATGTCAATACCCTCACTCTAGCTATAGATTAAAATAGGAGACTTCTAATTGTCATTTTTAGACATTTTTAGACAAATTATGGATGTGCTAGATTACATTACATTTTTAAATGCGCTAGTCCTAAGAATCCTAAAATATCATTAGCTAGCTAGCTAACTTACTTTTCAAAACGTAGCTATGTTGTTCTCCAAGGAAACCTGACGTATGATTCGAGCACTCCATTCGATCACTCTGGCTCTGGCTCTTTGATCACGATCAACGCCTCACTGACAGAAATAGACAAATGTTGGTTTTATTTATATTTTTATTTTATTTTAAACTTTATTTTTTTTCCCGCAACTTTTTATTGACATAGAAATTAAGAGAAGGACATACAATTGAATCATCCCAGCGCTTTGACAGTTTATTTTGGTAACATTTTAGTCATTTAGCAGACGCTCTTATCCAGAGCGATTTACAGTAGTAAATGCATACATTTTCATACTGGTCCCCCGTTGGAATCGAACCCACATCCTGGCGTTGCAAGCGGCATATTTTCTCTTATGTAAAACATTCAAGCAACATACCAATGAGAAAATTCAATTAAAAAAGACAATCAAAGTAAAGATGATTTAGCCACAATATGGGCAGGTAACGATGCAAACAGCTTTTGAGAACATGTGTTACATTTCATTAGAACAGAGAAATTAAGGACCAATACGTCAAAATATTTCAGAAGAACCTCATAATTTTGACATAAAACCATGATTGCATAACATATTTAAACACTTTCCTACTGTTCCATTGTATTGTGTTATAGCTGTAGGCTTACTACTTAAAAGTGTAAACACCAGTCTAGTAATGAACATTTGTGGCTTAGCATAATAATCAGCTCAGTTGACAAGTGACTCAACTTTACTGTAGTGATGAGGACCAATTACAGTAACATTTTCCTGAGTGTTGTTATGAAAAATGTTCTTTACCGCCCTCATTCACCAGTATTGCTTCAGATAAGATGTCATAATTCGAAGATATTCTTGAGTACTGTGCCTTGAACATCATGTTGATATTATCACCAGTTGAAAAGATTGAATTCTATACTAAGCAGGTCAATATGCTTCTCTTAAAATGTATATTCTGTGCACTTTATTGCAGGCTAAGGGGAAAAGGCCACACAAAAATCAAGCACATCACAATGAAGATTGTTTTTCACAGCATACGCTGAACAGTAGCACATGAGATTTACATGGAGGGAATTCCCTGCTTGCCAACATCAGCTATATAGACATGGAATTACACAGACAACTTTGGAAACATGGGCAAATACACTATTTCATAGACATAGAACTGCTTTATTGTGTATTCATTCTGATCATAAGAGTCCAAACACACACACACACACAAACACACACACACACATCTATTTACCCTCATGTATAAATAGATTAATATACACAGCTATACGGTGCATTCGGAAAGTATTCAGACCCCTTGACTTTTTCCACATTTTGTTACGTTACAGCCTTATTCTAAAATGGATTAAATGAATGATTTTCCTCATCAATCTACACACAATACCCCATAATGACAAAGCAAAAACAGGTTTTTAGAAATTTTAGCAAATATAAAAAAATAGCTTATTTACATAAGTATTCAGACCCTTTGCTATGAGACTCAAAATTGAGCTCAGGTGCATACTGTTTTCATTGATTATCCTTGAGATGTTTCTACAACTTGATTGGAGTCCACCTGTGGTAAATTCAAATGATTGGACATGATTTGGAAAGGCACCCACCTGTCTATATAAGATCCCGCAGTTGACAGTGCATGTCAGAGCAAAAACCAAGCCATGAGGTCGAAGGAATTGTCCGTAGAGCTCCGAGACAGGATTGTGTCGAGGCACAGATCTGGGGAAGGGTAGCAAAACATTTCTGCAGCATTGAAGGTCCCCAAGCATCACATCTGGAGGAAACCTGGCACCATCCCTACGGTGAAGCATGGTGGTGGCAGCATCATGCTGTGGGGATGTTTTTCAGCGGCAGGGACTGGGAGACTAGTCAGGTTGAGGGAAAGATGAACGGAGCAAAGTACAGAGAGCCCTTGATGAAAACCTGCTCCAGAGCGCTCAGGCCCTCAAACTGGGCCGAAGGTTCACCTTCCAACAGGACAACAATCCTAAGCACACAGCCAAGACAACGCAGGAGTGGCTTCGGGACAAGTCTCTGAATGTCCTTGAGTGGCCCAGCCAGAGCCCGGACTTGAACCCGATCTAACATCTCTGAAGAGACCTGAAAATAGCTGTGCAGCAACGATGCTCATCCAACCTGACAAGAGCTTGAAAGGATCTGTAGAGAAGAATGGGAGAAACTCCACAAATACAGGTGTGCCAAGCTTGTAGCGTCATACCCAAGAAGACTTGAGGCTGTAATCGCTGACAAAGGTGCTTCAACAAAGTACTGAGCAGTGGCGGCTCCTGAAAAAATTCTCAGGGGGGGCAATTTTTCTGATGATTTAGGTGACCTACACACATTTTAAAAAAGATATGTCCAGCAACAACATGAAGACAGGGGCAGCATATAAGTCAATACCAGAAGCATTTATTGACTGATCTCAAAAGTGTTGGCTTACCAGGGTTGGTGGAGCCCTCAGTTTCATCTTTGCCTCGCAAAGCTAACTCAAACACTCCGCAAAACTTCACACACTGGATTAGCCGGCTGAGGATGTGGCGGTTCTTGCTAATGTCGTAGTAAATATATTTGTTATAGTGAATATGGAATATGATATGTTGAGTAAAATGTTGTGCTAAGATCTATTTAGGTCAGGAGCTGGTTATAAGTTCTGTTCCTATCCAATAACAATGGACAAAAGGGTCCTATCTTGTCAGCCTTGTCAGTTTCAGTTCTCCAGTAAACTTGTGATTATCAACACTAACCTCATCGTTGTGGCGGCGGACAGCTAGCCTGTATCCCTCATCCAGTTGAGTGGGAATGTTCACTCTCCCCAAAGCAGACAATCTCAAACAGCTATCCATGTGGGTCTTTGACAGCTCATGTTTCTTAATCTTTCCTGAAAGATGGTGCATGTCCGTTACACACCAGTCGCTGTCCAAGCGGTGCTGTCTGCCGTGCCGCCTTCAGGGTGAAAGAGTAAGCAGGGGGTAGCAGAAGACTGCATTAGCTACATCGCAGCCTGCTAGCCAGGTTTTTCGTTCGTACCAATTTTTTGAAAATCCTCGGGTGTAGGACTTCCCCCCTTTAGTAGAAACCTGTTGAATTATTAAATTTGGTCTGGGAGGTCCTAATTGTTTCGTTGCCAATTTATCTTCATTTGTTCGCCGACAAAAAGGAACTTCTTTCAAAGACACAATCGAGTTGCACTGAAGCCTAGCCATTTTGACAGTAATAGTGAATTGATTGACGCTGCTACCCGCTCTTTTCTTAGTTACGTTCATGGTTACGTTACGTATGACGAAAGCGCGTAAGTGCAAGCCCTCAGAAACCCATAGAGATTGTATTGAAAGCTCTGATATTTGAAAAAAATAGATTTTACATGGGAGTCTATGACAGACTTCTGGGCGATTTTCAACCTGACTGAAATCGCCCCAAAAGGGGGGGGGGGGGCCATTTGAAGCACGACTTTAGCCTGATTGGACATTTAGTGGCACTGTGGCAGATCAGACGTCTAGATTACAACACTGATAACTACTGTTGCCGTGATATAATTGATTAGAAAAAAAATCCCTTCCTTTTCCCGTTTGGCAGTGCGTCGCCCATATCGCCCTATTGAACACACCGCCCCTGGTACTGAGTAAAGGGTCTGAATAATTATGTACAGTGGGGAAAAAAAGTATTGTCAGCCACCATTTGTGCAAGTTCTCCCACTTAAAAAGATGAGAGAGGCCTGTAATTTTCATCATAGGTACACGTCAACTATGACAGACAAAATGAGGAAAAAAAATCCAGAAAATCACATTGTAGGATTTTTAATGAATTTATTTGCAAATTATGGTGGAAAATAAGTATTTGGTCAATAACAAAAGTTTCTCAATACTTTGTTATATACCCTTTGTTGGCAATGACACAGGTCAAACGTTTTCTGTAAGTCTTCACAAGGTTTTCACACACTGTTGCTGGTATTTTGGCCCATTCCTCCATGCAAATCTCCTCTAGAGCAGTGATGTTTTGGGGCTGTCGCTGGGCAACACGGACTTTGAACTCCCTCCAAAGATTTTCTATGGGGTTGAGATCTGGAGACTGGCTAGGCCACTCCAGGACCTTGAAATGCTTCTTACGAAGCCACTCCTTCGTTGCCCGGGCGGTGTGTTTGGGATCATTGTCATGCTGAAAGACCCAGCCACGTTTCATCTTCAATGCCCTTGCTGATGGAAGGAGGTTTTCACTCAAAATCTCACGATACATGGCCCCATTCATTATTTCCTTTACACGGATCATTCGTCCTGGTCCCTTTGCAGAAAAACAGCCCCAAAGCATGATGTTTCCACCCCCATGCTTCACAGTAGGTATGGTGTTCTTTGGATGCAACTCAGCATTCTTTGTCCTCCAAACACGACGAGTTGAGTTTTTACCAAAAAGTTCTATTTTGGTTTCATCTGACCAGATGACATTCTCCCAATCCTCTTCTGGATCATCCAAATGCACTCTAGCAAACTTCAGACGGGCCTGGACATGTACTGGCTTAAGCAGGGGGACATGTCTGGCACTGCAGGATTTGAGTCCCTGGCGGCGTAGTGTGTTACTGATGGTAGGCTTTGTTACTTTGGTCCCAGCTCTCTGCAGGTCATTCACTAGGTCCCCCCGTGTGGTTCTGGGATTTTTGCTCACCGTTCTTGTGATCATTTTGACGCCACGGGGTGAGATCTTGCGTGGAGCCCCAGATCGAGGGAGATTATCAGTGGTTTTGTATGTCTTCCATTTCCTAATAATTGCTCCCACAGTTGATTTCTTCAAACCAAGCTGCTTACCTATTGCAGATTCAGTCTTCCCAGCCTGGTGCAGGTCTACAA